AAACTACAAAGCTGAAGCAAAAAATGAGTGATCGGGAACGTGTTCAATTGGAAGAATTTTCTGAAGCCAGTGTTCTTAAACGAAATGAAGCACACCTCTAGCATTCAGCTATTCTTCTGTTATTAGGAGCCTGGCTAACATCGCCTCGTGTAGATCCACGTGGTTTTTTTTGCCAGCTTCATTGACCAACATATGAGCTTAACCGAAGAGCCACTGGCAGTTGCTGAACATCTAATAAACAAAAATGACATGTGAAAGCTAAGAGAAAGGCGAAACGAATGACCCACGTGGTGTGGTGGTGAACGCGTTACTCCTCGGAAAGAACAGCAGTGCGTTCGTTCACCACCGCATACACCTGCGGTCCGGAGTTTTGCAAATATCTCAGCATTATAGAAGTTATACTTCGCAACTTGCCCTACCATTAAAAAAAAACAGGCAGTAAAAAAAAGGTTAAAAAAATGACAAATGTTTGTAAAAGCTACCTTCCATGTAGACCACTGCCTTTCATTTTCACGTAGGAAATTCATTTTAACAAGAGGGGAAAGCGCGAATTCTGGACTGAATGTTACGATTTGCAGAACGACATCGACAGACGGCAGAAGCGCAGTGGTGATAGTGGTAATCAGTGCACGTCTTCATCCTTGCACTATGGAGTTGGAAAATATCTCTGCTCAGTTCGATACGTTTAAAACCTCATTTGTTTCCATTATTCATCATGCCCTTACATTTTTTGAATGGATCAGGAATCAAATCTCTAACGTCAATAGAAAGTGTTCAAAATTGAGAATGTTCAACATAAAGCGCTTACCAAGACCGACTTTCTATTAGCCACTGTATTGGATTATAAATATCTGGCTTTCTTTTTCAGCAATCGCGGAGTTGTCATTAAGCACACGTTTGCTTCTTTACAAAAAGTACACTTATAAAACAATGGTAGCTCACGTTTCGGCGGTATCGCCTTGTTCAGAGCTTGGAAGGGTACACTGATACGTAATCTACCAAGTCAAACGATTCAACTGCACAAACAGAAAGATGGAAAACTGAACGATAATCACACCACCAACAGCTTCTTGAAAAGCCTACAGTTTTTATCTGCTTTCCATGGAGAGAGCATACCCACTCAGAGTCACATATGGTTGATGACTACATCACCCCTCACCAAAAATTAGTTCTGAGATACGTAACTAGACCACGTATTATCTCTGGGTATGCTTTCCTGCTATTCATTCTCGAATTCTTGGCACTTCTTCAAAAGGCCTCGAAAGCTTTGCGCGTTGGTGTTTTAGTCTCCTGTACGAGGACAGCTACTTTTATATAAAAATCGCCTTCGCTATGTTTTTGTGTCCTATGCTTCTGTGGTGACACGCCCTGTCCTACTTTTTGTTTCTCAACTAAGTGCTCTTTTATAGGGATACATAGTGGTCTGCTCGACTCGCCAATATTTTCCTCTCCGCAATTATTACAAGAGATCAGGTATATCGTACCTGAACTCATGCAATCACCGTCCCTGCCGTAAGAGCAAATTACGCAATTTGTTGTTTCACACAGACGGTCATACAGGCGGTTACGAACTAGCTCACGACATAGAGTATCCGGTGATATTTCAACTATCACTACCGATTCCTCTAGACCTGCTCTTCTTAAGCATCGTTTATAGCTACGCTCACTTCATCGCTAATAAAGGGCAAATTAAGCTGGCAGCTTTCGTCTCGGCCAAACCGTTCGTTTTGGGGTGTCGCCCTCCTTTTAAACTTATCTCGTGGTGTTACTATTTCGTAGATATTAGAGAAGGTTATTTGCTGAGCCAAGTCGCAGAATTCTTCGCTTAGTTCCATACTTGTCCGCACAGGGGTGGCTGTTCGAAATATGTTTCTCACAAGCGTCCTACTAGTGCGTGAAGTTTGGGAAAGGGGAGACGTGTACGTGATGGAGTCCTTCGACGTTGGCGCGCTTTATACCAACGCATCGAATAGCCTATCAGTGTAAGCCATTTTTGAAATTTTTGCTGAACACAAAAGAAGGATAAATAAGCATAGATTATCTATCAAACAGCTTATAGCTCTCTTAAAAGGGTTCCTAAACTGTTCGATTTTCAAATGGTCTCGAAAATACTACGCGCAAATAAATGGGTTGGCAACGGGACAGCGACCGGCAGCAAGCCTTGCCATTCGGTTTATGTCTAAAGTAGAATCTCCGTTCTTGGTCTACAGCCGCTACTCTACTGCAGATATGTAGGCGATTATGCTGCGGTGGCTCATTGCTCATAGCTCATTCGCGCGGTGTTCACTGAAGAAGGTCGCGTCTCGGTACGACAACGAAAACGCTATATCGAGATAACGAATAAATGTGGACCACCGACATGGATCATCGTCTCTGATAAAGACGAATGGCTAAAACGTGAACTGAATAAACATCTTTATCAACCTCGTGCAGCTCAACATCATAAACACATAGGTGATTGTTTTGTCATCTTCTCCAAGCAGAAGGAGATGGACAAATGCTGTGAATTATTGAGAGAGCAGTCTGAGTACATCACTTTCATAGCCGTTATATGACAAAGTGGTCTCCAAAACCAAGCAACAAAAGCAACCTGACTCATTTCCACTTTTCTCGTCATTCACACACAAAGAGGGCGCTTGTGAGAAACATATTTCGAACAGCGACCTCTGTATGCACAACTAGGGAACTAAAGAAAGAATTCTACGACTTGGCTCGCCAAATAGCCTTCTCCAGTGGCTACGAAATAGTAGGCCCACGAGATAAGTTTAGAACGAGAGCTACACCCTAAGACGAATGGTTTGACCGAAACAAAAGTCTGTTTATTTTGCTCTTTACTAGCGATGAAATAATGGCCGCGATAAAGCGATATTTAAGAAAGGCAAATTTCGATGAAACGGTAGCGATAACCGAAATATCGCCAGATACTCCACGTCGTCAGTTGGTTCGTAGCCGCTTGTATGACCGTTTACGTGAAACACCAAATTCCGTAATTTGCTTTCATGGCAGGGACGGTGATTGCATGAGTTCAGGTACGATATGCCTGATTCCTTGTAGTACTTGCGCAAATGAATATATTGGCGAAATGAGCAGACCTTTATGCATCCGCATAAAAAACACATAGATGGCAAACGAAAAGCAAAATAAAGTACTTCACTAGGCACACACAGCAGACAAAACCATAGCGGAGACGATTTTTATATAAAAGTAGTTGTCCTCGTACAGTAGGCGTAAACACGAACGCGCAAAGTTCTCGAGGTCTTTTGAACAAGTGCGACGAATTCCGGAATGAGTATCAGCGAAGAATGTCCAGAGATAACACGTGGTATAGTCAAGTATCTTAGAACTGACTTTTGATGAGGGGTGATGTAGTCATCAACCATATGCGGCTCTGAGTGGGTATTCTTCTACGGTGGAAAGCAGATAAAAAAAGGTGGGTTTTTCGAGAAGCTGTTGAACGTGCAATTATCGTTCAGATTTCTGTCTTTCCGTTTCTCGAACGCTTCATCTAATAAATTGCATGTCAAAGCATCCTTACAAGTTCAAAAAGAGGCGATCATGCCGTAACGTCCTTTGTCGCTGTTTTGTATGCGTTCTTTTTGTAAGGGAATAAACGTGTGCTGAAGAACAACCTCGCGTTTGTTGCAGAAGAAATCGAGGTATTTATAGAGCAGTTAATAGTTTCTATCTCCAGATGCGCTTCCATTTTTCTCTCTTGATTCCCCTATCATGTTACTTATTTTGTTTGCCCATATAGAGTTTTAGTTACCCAAGTTTGAGATAAACGATATGGAGAAAAGCGACGCGATTAATGAGTCGTGTTGCATTGATGAGCAACTGTGAGCAGTTAGTAGTTTATTATCAAAGCAAATTTTACTTGAAAAAGTAGTTCAAAACTCGGTGCTCTCTCTGGAGCCCAATGTCGAAGGCCCACCTTACTACTATATCTTGAAATCTATCGCGTCGCTCAGCATTTTCGAGCTCACGAGTCTTATCTATTTTCAATCTCAGATGCAAAGCAGACACGTCAATCGCAGACCAGCTCTGCCCCACGGATGCAACTTCAATTACGTCCTTGACAAATCGACACTTTACCAAAAACGTTTCGCTAAAACCGATATTGGTAATCTTATGTCACTGTTGTAACCCGGCGACAGAAGTTTTACAATTTATGACACTTTCAATCGAATTACTCGTTTAATACCACGTCCACTGATCACCTCTCGCGTTTACTCTGTCTTCAAATGAATTTTAACTGACGAATTCGAAAGATGGATAAAAAAAGTATTTAAGGCCTTTGCTGGGCTTCCTGGTGAAAACGCCGAACGCCTTCTCTGCTTGGGAGACCTTGCCGGATGATGAACTCGCTACTGTATATCGCAACCCGACACTCACGAACACCTCCCAACCACGATGAGGCGGTAAACCATTGAGAGCATAAAACAAGTAACTTGTAACTATTTCACTTATTATAAATTTAATGCTTTAAATGAGCCCAAATATGGTCACTGTATTATCACTGTATTATTTCAATTTGAAGAAGTGTGAGATTTTTAAAAGATGAGGAAACGACTATGAAATAAGCAATGAGATGGAAGCGCCGTCATTCATTTGGAAATTGATTTCACAGTACTGTCGTATAGAATACTGTAACGGCAACTGTTTTAATATTTGAAAAATTAGAACAAAGACAATATGTTGTGGACGTCGTAGCAACGGTATTGGAAAAGAGAAGCATTGAAAGGACAAGGAAGAAATGTGTTTTATTCACTAAATCCCAAAGTTTATATAAATATTTGACCGTCAAACTCTAAACGGAGCCGGCCAATAGAAAATATTCTTTTTTCTAGTAACGCAGATTGAATATGGACGTGTGAACGGCTATGCAAACGACGAATATTCAAAGGCGTATAAAATCAAGGTAGAACGTAGAACTCTAAGCGCGCTCCTATCATTTTTCATCCTCGCTTCTAAAGCGCCAGTTCTCTATAATTTATTTTAGAATGAAAATTATACTGTTCATATTTCTGAACTTCTTCGTTAGAGCGGAAGTGTTCAACAGTCTTGAGTCGACAGATAAACCATCGGCTAGCGATGAGAACTTCGAGAACGAACTGGAAGAGGGATATCAGTTACTCAAAGACGTAAGAATATCTGAGAAATCACATCTGTAAAATACAAAAAAGCTATGCTCTTGCCTCTCAACTGTGTTTCTGCCATAGGAGCCCCATGCCGAAGACACAAAGATTCTTCTCCAGCAATTGCACGTGTTAGAGCCAGAAATCAAAGAAGAACTCGCTCTATCCCCAGAACGGAATGCTGAGTTACAAGAAGAAATGAAGGTGAGTACATTGCATTTTAAGAAACAACCAAAAAGTAAACTCAACTTTTAGAACTACGTTAAAATCGAGAACGATCACGTTCCACAATTTGGCGAAACGATCGAAGAAATCAATTTGGACACCAAAGTAGACAGAGCTCTGTTTCAAGGAGACATACTACTTACTAAGTTGGTCCACCCTAGCATCTCCTTTCTAAGTTCTCAAAAAGCATTGTTGTTTTCAGAGAACAAGCCGATGAGATCATAGAGGACGTTAAGGAAAACAAAGCCAACCGCAGCAAACGACAGGCATATCGTGACAGTAGATATCCCAATGCTCTGTGGTCAAATGGAGTGTCCTATTCCTTTCACTGGAACGCAAGTTCGTTTCGTCGTTTTTCAATCTATTCTTAGGAGATGTGCATTAAATAAGCGATCAGTCCCCAACATTTACGTACCACTGCTTCGGCAAATTATTCTCGAGCTTGTCTGGAAAAATTAAAGCGACCAACTTAATACATCGGTAGGCTACCGGTACTAATTGTACAGGCCAGACGAGCATTAATTCACTCAATTAAAGGTGGTGAAGTCGCACACTTGGCACTCTGGCACTCCTTCATGTGCTCTTTGAGTGAAGGCAACAAACGCTGAGCATAATAATTTTCTAACTAATTTCAGCGCATGGAGCAAGGCGGGTTTTCAGAAAAGCTACCCAAATATGGCAGGACGAAACATGCATTAATTTCTTTGAAGATAACACAGGTGTGACAAAAAAAGTGATTGAAACCTGTGAAAACTTAAAGAACCCGCCAAAAAATTTAAGCTTCGGGTAGGATTGTCGTCTTCCAAGGTCCTGGATGTTATTCAAATATTGGAAGAATTGGAGGCATTCAGACTCTCTCATTGGGGCCGAGATGCGAACAGGTACGATGGCTTTTTGATATCTTCATTTTTCTCGTTGAACTTTTTAGGATAAAAGAAAGAGACTACTATTAATTCCAAACTACATCACTTTCGTATTTTGTGTAGGTTGGAACCGCTGTGCACGAAATCGGACACTCACTGGGTTTCTTTCACACACAGTCGAGGCACGATCGTGACGAAAATGGCGTTTGGAGGCGTGTTATAGTGTCCGGAAGGACAACTTGCCCACATCGAGTGGGCGGTCGTTTTTCGCAGTTTTCGCGAGACTTCCTCGCGCGAATTCCCCTCCCCGACCGCCACCCCCGTTGGGAGAATTGCCGTACTGATTCAATACGTCAGTAGGCCACTGCGAATCATTGCAAAGGCCAGATATGCATTCAATCACCTCCGAACGATACTTAGGGAAGTCTCGAATGTAGAACGCGTTCCTGAGTGATTGAGAAACGTCCAGAACTCTTTTCTTTATCCTTCATGTATTTGTTTATGTACAGCTGATGTGCTCGTGCACATATATATGCATATGTATTGGTGTTTAAATATATATATATATGTATATATATACTTGCACCTGTGTTAGGGTATGTAGTACGCTTGGAAACTGATTGATGAAGCATTTATTCCAGAAAAAAATACGTGAACTAGCAGAAACCGCATGATTTCGGGCAGGCCAATTTCTTAAACTTGTCGTCGTAGTTGTCATCATTACAGAAGTCCCACTGCAGCAATTTAGTACACCTGAATAATTTTTTGAACCCTAAAAAACAACTTGTGACAATGCTTTAAATGAACATACAGATTAATGTCTTTGCAGCTTTTGTTGGGCTTCTTAGCTGGCTGAGGAGTTGTCTCGTCCCCCTCAGTTTCCGTATCCACAGCACCCGTTCCAGTGGAAGCTGCAACAATTCGTGTAGCAAAAGTGGTTACAGAACTAGTTCACTTAATGCAGGCATTTATTTCTACATTACCGATTCGATAACGTAAGACGGTTTTGACTTCGTAGAGCCTGCTGAATGTAATTATAGGGACGATATTGTGCGTAGAGACCAAGGATGTTCCAGCAAATCTTGGA